CACTTACCTTTATTGAAGATGCAGCAATGACTGATGAGACACTGTGTCCTGGGAGTGCCTTTTCCTCCTGAGTACTGTAGGTCCTGTTAGGTATTTTCTTCCAGAACATGCCTTATCACACTGTGTATGCCACTACGATTCTTAAATCTCTCAAACCAACCTTTGCTGGCTCTAAATTCACCAATATGAGCACTAGTTCCAGGCATTTTCCCTGTTCACCTGGGTGTTAGTCGACTGGTGTGGGTTGCATCCTGGGAGACAAGATTAAGGACCCCAATGGAAATAAGTTAGACAGTCTTCGATGACACTGACTTTTTTGGGTTATCCTGGGTGGCAAATCCTCTGGGGTTAATTGTTTCTTGGTATTCTCAATAAGCCACACCAACAACGGTGCTACAGCAGCAGCAGCAGCTGACGGTGGTACAGCAGCAACAGACGATGCTACAGCAGCAACAGACGATGCTACAGCAGCAGCAGACGATGCTACAGCAGCAGCAGACGATGCTACAGCAGCAGCAGACGATGCTACAGCAGCAGCAGACGATGCTACAGCAGCAGCAGACGATGCTACAGCAGCAGCAGACGATGCTACAGCAGCAGCAGACGATGCTACAGCAGCAACAGACGATGCTACAGCAGCAGCAGACGATGCTACAGCAGCAGCAGACGATACTACAGCAGCAGCAGACGATGCTACAGCAGAAGCAGACGATGCTACAGCAGCAGCAGACGATGCTACAGCAGCAGCAGACGGTACTACAGCAGCAGCAGCAGCTGACGGTGGTACAGCAGCAGCAGCTGACAGTGCAGCAGCAGCTGACGGTGGTACAGCAGCAGCTGTACCACCAATAGTAGCGATGGTTGATTGGGGTTTATTATACAACCTGGCCAGCTCGGAGACACGCACTCCACTTTCATACTTATCAATGATCTTTTTCTTCATCTCCATAGTAATTCTCACCCTTATTGCTGTAGGGTTGGCACTAGAAGCTTTCTTGGGGCCCATGGTCACTTATTTTCCAGAAAAAAATCACCAAAAACACTGTAATAATATGAAATGTTCCGATTGTATGCTTGGATGTTACCGCGGAGGCTGGCTGGTAAACAATGCCACCGGCGGAACATGTGAGCGTGGCTCAGGCCGCACATTGGACGCGTCTCGGACGAAGGGCGGTGAGCGGGTTTTTGGGCGGTATGCGAGGCAAAATTTTTGCGATCAAAGCGTCCGGTATGCGGATTGTACGGTATGCGATGCGTCCGGTATGCGGGGGTCCACTGTACTTCAGAAATGTTCAGTGAAACCTGACTGTTGAATTCATGCGGGAATTCAAAGGTTATGTAGAGGCTGAAAAATTCCAATCTCAACAAGTGTTCAACTGTGACGAAATAGGCCTGATTTGGAAGAAAATGCCAGAGGACCTACATCACACAGGAGGAAAAGGCACACCCAGGACACAAGCCTTTGCAAGACAGGTTAACTCTCTTGTTGTGTGGTAATGCTAGAGAGGATTTCAAAGTGAAGCCTTTACTCATGTATCACTCTGAAAACCTCAGAGTGTTCAAGAAAAACAGTGTTGTCAAGAGTAAATTGTGTGTGATGTGGAAGGGTAACAGTAGGGCATGGGTCGCTAGGGAAATTTTCCTGGAATGGTTCAATGAAGTGTTTGGCCAGAGTGTGAAGAAATACCTGGATACTAATTTGCCACTCAAGTGTGTCCTGTTAACCCTTTCAGGGTCGAGAAGCCCTCTCCTAAACTTGTTCAAAATTTTTCGGAAAAAAAAATTATTTTTTCTTATGAAATGACAGAGAATCTTTTCCCAATCATAATGACACCAAAAATATGAAATTTGATGGCAAACTTATGGAATTATCCTCTCGCGATGTTAGCGGTCTCGCCGATGTTTATGCATCGGTGATTCCGCCCACTTTGAGCCCTATTTTTGGCCAATTCCTGAGTACCAGTCGACAAAAATCATATTTATTTTGCTAGAACCCAATTTTTTCTATTGAATGAGTACAAGAAACCACCCATTTACCAATTTCAACTATCCAGTAAAGTGAACATCAAAATGGTATACAATACCGACAGGTTGGTAGGTAAGACACATAGGCAACAGTTAGGCAACTTTATTCCGAAACATTTCGCCTACACAGTAGGCTTCTTCAGTCGAATACAGAAAGTAGGCAGGAATAGTAGAGATGTGAAGACGACGTAATCAGTCCATCACCCTTGAAGTCGTAGAATTTGAGGTTGTCAGTCCCTCAGCCTGAGAGGGACCTGACTCTCAGTGACTACATTCTCACTACTACTACTCCTCTGCACCTCTCCTTCCGACAGTATTTAAGTCTCTGCACTGTCGCTTGATCTTCAGATAGTTCCTAACTATGGAACTGAACTTCTCCAGGCTGAGGGACTGACAACCTCAAATTCTACGACTTCAAGGGTGATGGACTGATTACGTCGTCTTCACATCTCTACTATTCCTGCCTACTTTCTGTATTCGACTGAAGAAGCCTACTGTGTAGGCGAAACGTTTCGGAATAAAGTTGCCTAACTGTTGCCTATGTGTCTTACCTACTATCCAGTAAAGTGGTTAGAAATTGGCAATTTTGCCAATTTCACACAAATTTCAGAGTGGTTAGAAATTGGCAATTTTGCCAATTTCACACAAATTTCAGAAGATGCAAATTTCCAAATAGGGTCCAGAATAAACAAGAAAGACACTCCTGGCACTAAAATAACACGTTCTCTGTTCGTTAGTCATGTCCCCAGGCCCCTCTTATATTTCTTTGGCTTTCCACTTTGAATTTTTATTCTTACAAAAAATAGAAGATTTACTGTTATGCATACTACTGCATTAGTGTAGAAATGGTATAAATAATATCAGCGCACTTGTGAAAGAATATTAGACTCATCACTTGATGTGTATTGGATGCTTGGCATGATTTGTTTACTTTTGAGCTTTGGTGGTAAAAATCGAACATTTCTGCTACTTTGAGCTCAATTTCAAGGTACTTTTCATTGGGAAACCAGTCAAAATCATCTCAATTTCTGTATTATGTCTTCCATTCTATAAAATGAGACCATGAAAACTAGAATGCAACCATTAATACCATACAAAAATACAGTGCAAAGTCGCTGTTTTAATCCAAAAACACGGTCAAAGTTTTTTTTTTTCTCATTACGCACTTTGTGCTGCAGGATTTTTTTTATACTGCGCACACTGACCACATAGACCCATTCTTTCATATGTAGGCCTACAGCTTTCTCTCGCTAGATTTGAAGACGCTAGAATTTAGGCGTACTAGTGTGTCAATAACCCTGGTGCGTAAGCCGTACTAGTACGTCGAAAACCCTGAAAGGGTTAATGGACAATGCTCCTGCTCATCCTCCAGACTTGGAAGACCAATTGTCTAAGGAATTCAGTTTTGTAACAGTGAAGCTCTTGCCTCCTTAACACCACTCCTCTCATCTAGCCCATGGACCAGCAGATCATTGCAAACTTCAAAATACTGTACACCAAAGCAATGTTTCAAAGGTGCTTTGACATAACCTCGGACTCTGAATTGACCCTATGAGAGTTCTGGAAGAATCACTTCAAAATCTTCCACTGTATAAGCCTTATAGATAAGGCTTGGCAGGGAGAGACTTCCAGGACAATGAACTCTGGTTGGGGAAAACTGTGGCCACATTGTGTCCATAAGAAGGATTCTGAAGGATTTGAGGTTGACCCTGTCGACCCTACACCTGTTGTGCAAGCAACTGTGGCACTGGGGAATTCCATGGGGTTAGATGTGAGTTACAGTGAGTTCACTATAATTATAGTGAGCACACTATAAGATAGTGTGCTCACTATAAGACAGTGCACTCAATATAGAATAGTGTGCTCACTATAATTATAGTGAGCTCACTATAAGATAGTGTGCTCAATAAAGATAGTCATGCTCACTATAATTATAGTGTGCTCACTATAAGATAGTGTACTCAATATACAATAGTGCACTGAATATAAGATAGTCATGCTCACTAAAAGATAGTGTGCTCACTATAATTATAGTGAGCTCACTATAATTATAGTAAGCATACTGTAAGATAGTGTGCTCACTATACGATATTGCACTCAATATAAAATAGTCATGCTCACTATAATTATAGTGAGCTCACTGTTAGATAGTGTGCTCACTATAATTATAGTGAGCTCACTATTAGATAGTGTGCTCACTATCATTATAGTGAGCTCGGTATAAGATAGTTGTGCTCACTATAAGATAGTGCACTCGATATTAGTGTGCTCATTATAATTATAGTGAGCTCACTATAAGATAGTGTGCTCAATATAAGATAAAGTGTTCACTATAAGATAGTGTGCTCACTATAATTATAATGTGCTCAATATAAGATAGTCATGCTCACTAAAAGATAGTGTGCTCACTATAAGATTGTGTGCTCATTGTATGATAACTTACTGTTATCATACAATGAATGCTCAACTCACTGTTATCATACAATGAATACACAACTTACTGTTGCCATACAATGAACACTCAACTTACTGTTGTCATACAATGAACACTCAACTTAATGTTATCATACAATGAACACTCAACTTACTGTTGTCATACAATGAACACTCAACTTAATGTTATCATACAATGAACACTCAACTTACTGTTATCATACAATGAACACTCAATTTACTGTTATACAATGAGTGCTCAACTTACTGTTATCATACAATGAACACTCACCTTATCATTGTCATACAATGATCACTCAACTTACTGTTATCATACAATGAACACTCAACTTACTGTTGTCATACAATAAACACTCAACTTGTTGTTAAAATACAATGATCACTCAACTTACTGTTGTCATACCATGACATCCTTGGATCAAACAAGTCTTTCATTCTTCAAGGACCTTACTGATTTATTACTTCTCTATAATTATAATAATGCTATTAACCTAAAACAGGAAACACAATTTAAAACTCACCTATGAAAAGAGTCGACCATTTTAAGTTGTCCTCTGAGATCTTTTTTTGTGAGATGGTCCAGCATCCTGGCATCAACTAGACACTCCATGAAGGTAGTGCGGTACTGGGGCAGACCTAGAGCTGGAAGCCACTCATTACCAACCCACTCGTGATTCATGTCACCAAAGGCTAAGGTAGTGCGGGAAGTCTTGGGTGCCGAAGGAGACGTCAATGACACCATCTCCTGAATGGCCAGTCGTAACTTGAGGCGGTGTAGTGGATTAGATATACCAATCTCTCGCTGAATCTCTGCATCACTCAGAGCAGACATGATGGCTCCGGACTTGACGTTTGCTCGACAAGCTGCCACATACCAGGCTGGCATGCCCACCCAGAGTTCCAACCAAGCAACAATTGTGGGACCATTCCATAATGCAAATGGAGTTCCAGCTTTCATAGCTTCAGCCAATAATTCATGTCTATAACCAGGTAAACTGAAAAGATAAAATACACATAAAATATCATAATCTAATATAGTAGGGCCCACTTATATCGCAGGTTAGGTTCCAGGCTACTGCCGCAAAGCAGACATTGCCAGAAAGCCGAACTCCATTTTTTCACTTATAAATGCATATAAATGCCAGATAAATTTACACTAACATATATTAAGTTAGCAATAGAACTAGGCATTAAAAAACAATAAAAAGTAAAATACACACACAGTACACTCATTATTTACCTCAAAATATTTGTAGTCTTAATGTAGGCAAAAAAGTATGGTAGCCCTCCTGGCCACTCCACCCACACATAATATGCTACGACGCTTAAAGCACCGTAGAGTGATAAAATGCATATACAGTACACTCATTACTTACCTTAAAATATTTGTAGTCTTAATGGTCTTAATGTAGGGTGAGAGGTGAAAAGTATTTATTCATAGAAAGTCGTGCGGGAGGGAGGGGAGGGTAGCCCGCCTGGCCACCCCACCTACTATGACATTTAAGCGCCCTTACCTTACCTTTGATATACCTTTGAAGAGTTTTGAGGGCTTGTCTACTCTCTGAGCTGGGCCATAGGCCAGGCTCATCTGGTGCTTGCCTGGTCAACCAGTCTGTTGCTGCTGGTGGCCCGCTGCCCCACATATCCATCACAGCCTTGTTGATCTGGCACCTGGTGAAGATACTTGTCCAGTTTTCTCTTGAAGGCTTTTACAGTTGTTCCAGCCGTGATTCTGATATCTTCTGGTAAGATGTTGAATAGTCTGGGACCCCGGATGTTGATACAGTGCTCCCTTATTGTACCCACTGCACCCCTGCTTCTCACTGGATTTATTTTGCACTTCCTCCCATATCTCTCACTCCAGTATGTTATGGCAGTGTGAAGATTTAGGACAAGGCCCTTGAGTACTTTCCAGGTACATATTATCATGTATCTCTCCTCTGCTCCAATGAATACATGTTTAAAACTTGAAGGCATTCCCAGTAGTTTAGGTGCTTTACTGGCTAAATGTGAGCCATAAATGATCTCTACATTTGTTCCAGCTCCAATATTTCTCCTGAGCAATATTCTAAGTGAGGGAGCACTAGTGATTAGAGCGATAAAATACATATACAGCACACTCATTACTTACCTTAAAATATTTGAAGTCTTAGTGTAGGGTGACAGGTGAATAAGCGAGATAAAAATGAATAAATGAGAGAGAGAACGGGTAGAGGACAGAGCCACAGAGTACTTATGTAAACAAACACGTCTGGTTATGATTGATACACATTCATACAAACACCTTACATTGTGTACAAGTTTTTCTCTACAGTGGTACAGTAGAATAAATAAAGACCAATACTTCCATTCTCATGTAGTTTTTAGAAGGAATGATGCTCTGACAAATTATTATTATTATTACAAATTATTATTATTACAAATTACTATTATTATAAATTATTATTATTACAAGTTATTATTATTATTATTATAATCATAATAAAAAAGAAGTGCTAAATCCACAAGGGTTCTGAATAGCTATAGATATGGTGAAGGCATACAAAAGGAATATTGTTCTACAGTTAAGTAACTGGTGTTTGACTAGAGAAAACGTAATTCTTCCGACACATACAAAGCACTTGGTAAACATATCTCATATTTATGTCAATTTTTATACTGTGGGCGTATGTATCATGTTTATATGTTACGTAGCATGTTTATTATATAATTTTGAAAAAAAATATCATAGATGGATTAATGGAAATATCTATACGTATTAACGTAACATACGACATTTAATTTGCCCAAGAGATTATACGGCATCAAGAGTAGAGAGACTCTTAGTGATTTTAATGTGTACCTGCATGCCAGCACAGTGTGTAAGTACATTTAGGTACAGGTACACATAAGTATAATTATCAGAGTACAGTGAGCCCCCGACTTACGATATTAATCCATTCCAGAGAGCTCATCGTTAGCCGAAATTATCGTAAGTCGAATTAATTTTCCCCATAAGAAATAATGGAAATCCAATTAATCCGCTCCAGACACCCAAAGGTATGAAAAAAAATTTTAACACATGAAATATACATTTTCCTACACACAAAAAGAAGGATATATGCACAATATACATACTGTACTAAATGAAGAATAAATGACACTTACCTTTATTGAAGATGTGGTGATGTGTGATGAGATGGGAGGAGGGGAGATGGAAGTGTATTAATTTTTGGAAGGGAAATCCCCTTCCATAAGGAATTTAGGTAGCAAGTCCTTTTCTGGGATTACTTCCCTTCTTCTTTTAATGCCACTGGGAACAACTTGACAGTCACTGGACCTCTGTCACACCAAAAATCTGTCCATAGAGCTCTGTACCCGCATTCCTTTAAGATTTTCCTAAAGTGGTTCACAACATTGTCATTGTAAAAGTCACCAGCACGGCATGCAATAGTTGTGTCAGGGTGATTTTTCTCCATAAAGGTTTGCACCTTTGACCACATTGTACACATTTCCTTAATCATTGAAGAAGGCAACTTCCTCAATTTCTCTCTCCCCTCCTCTGAAGCAATTTCCTCAGTTGTGGCCTCTTGCTATTGCAGATGCTCTTGCAGCTCATCAGTGGTTAGTTCTTCGTCATCGTCCTCCACCAACTCTTCCACATCCTCCCCACTAACCTCCAACCACAAGGACTTCCCCAGTGCCACAATAGATTCCACAACTGGCATAGGCTCCTGAGGGTTAGCACCAAACCCTTCAAAATCCCTTTCTTCTACACATTTTGGTCACAATTTCCTCCAAGCAGAGTTCAAAGTCCTGTTAGTCACTCCTTCCCAAGCCTTACCTATAAGGTTTATATAGCAATTGAGGATACTGAAGTGATCTTTCCAAAACTCTCTTAGGGCCAATCAAGTGTCTGAGGTCACTTCAAAGCACTTTTGAAATATTGCTTTGGTGTACAGTTTTTTGAAATTTGAAATGACCTGCTGGTCCATGGGCTGGAGGAGAGGAGTGATATTAGGAGGCAAGAATTTCACTTTGATAAAACTTAAGTCCCCCGAAATTCGCTCTGGCAAGTCTGAAGGATGAGCAGGAGCACTGTATAATACCAGAGGCACTTAAGGTCCAATTTATTTTCCAGGAGATAATTTTTCACAGTGGGGCCAAACACATGGTAAAACCAGTCATAGAAAATGTCTCTAGTGACCCATGCCTTACTGTTTGTCCTCCACATCACACACAAATTAGCCTTGACGACATTGTTTTTTCTGGGAGTTTCAGAGTGATACATGAGTAGAGGCTTCACTCTGCAATCCCCACTAGCATTACTACACAACATTAAAGTAACCCTGTCCTTCATAGGCTTGTGTCCTGGGAGTGCTTTTTTCTCCTGTGTAATGTAGGTCCTGTTTGGCATTTTCTTCCAAAACAGGCCTGTTTCATCACAAACACTTGTTGGGGTTGCAATCCTTCAGCCTCTATGTACCCCTGGAATTCCTGCACATATTTTTCAGCCGCTTTTTTGTCCGAACTGGCAGTCTCACCATGCCTTATCACACTGTGTATGCCACTACGATTCTTAAATCTCTCAAGCCAACCTTTGCTGGCCTTAAATTCACTCACATCACCACTAGTTGCAGGCATTTTTTTAATTAACCCTTTCAGGGTCCGTCCCGTAGATCTATGGCTTTACGTTCAGGGTCCAAACCGTAGATCTACGCCATGAGCTCAGCTCACTCTGATAAACTGTGAGTGGTACATTTGGGCCTAGATATGAGAGAATACATCTATGTGGTATGTGTGCACCACATAAAACAGATCCTGCAGCACACTGTGTATAATGAGAGAAAAAAAATGAAATCATGATTTTTCGATTAAAACAGCAACTTTGCAGTGTTTTTTCGTATTTTTTAATAGATGTATTTGCGATTTCTTGGTCTCATTTGATAGAATGGAAGACATATTACAGAAATAGAGATGATTTTGATTGGTTTTAGCATTGGAAATGGCTTGAAACTGAGCTCAAAGTAGCGGAAATGTTAAATTTTTGCCGATATTCAAAAGTAAACAAACGACCTCACACATCTAATACACGTCAGCTGGTGGGTCTAATATACATTCACAAATATGGTGATGATTTATATACAATTATTACAGTATTGCATAAGAGTAAATCTTCTATTTTTTGGTGTGAATAAAAATTCATTATGTGAATAAAAAATCAAAATGTAATTTATTTGTAAAGCCTCAAAACATAACTATGAACAGAGGAAATGTTAGTTTAGTGCCAGGAATGCCTACATTGTTCATTCTGGACCCTATTTTGAAATTGGAATATTTTGAACTTTGTGTTAAATTGGCCAAATTAACAATTTCCGATCACTTTATTTTGTAGTTGAAACAGTTGACTTGGCGATTTCTTGTGCTCAATCGATAGAATAGAAGTAATACTAGTGAAATAGCTAAGAATTTGGTTGATTGGAATAATGTAATTGTCCTAAAATGGGAGTCAAAGTCGGCAAAATCGCCGATTCGTAAATATCGCTGACACATCAAAATTCGCGAGAGCATAATTTCGTCAATTTTCCACCAAATTTCGTACTTTTTGTTTTATTACCTTCACAAAAAGATTCTCTACGATTTCATAAGAAAAAATAACAAATTTTTTTTTTGAAAATTCTTGGACACTGGTGCGTGACTCCAGATTTGGGCCTTGGACCCTGAAAGGGTTAAATCATCATGCAACTGCCTTGCCTTTTCACATATGATCACTTGAGAGATGCTATCTCCTGATATCTGTTTCTCATTTATCCACACCAATAACAGTCTCTCAACATCTTCAAGTACTTGCAATCTGTGTTTCAAAAAGATACTTGCACCTTTTGCAACAACAGCTTCCTTGATTGCCTTTTTGTTGGCCAAGATAGTAGCGATGGTTGCTTGGGGTTTGTTGTACAACCTGGCCAGCTTGGAGACACGCACTCCACTCTCATATTTTGTGATTATCTCTTTCTTC